AGAGAATTTTTTCCCCAATAGCAGCTTTAGAATATAGACTATTTAATTTGGTAACATGCCTGGTTGGGGAGTGGAACTCTCGGGCATCGCTTCTGCTTTATACATTTTTTTTTTCTTTTTTTTTTCCTCTTCTATTTTTCCTTTCTGCCTTTGTACTTCAGCCTCAACTTTCCCTCTGACAAGAAGCACTCAGCCCTCGCTTGGTCCGATAACACCGGTACAGTCACTCTGCCTTTTCCTGCCTGTTTGCTTTGAACTTGGGTCATGATCATGGGGCAGCCATTACATTCCTTGGCTTGAAGAAAATAAACTAATTAACTTTACCTCAGCTGTGATCTTGTCTGTGCTGCCAGCAGGGAGAGAGGTGTTTTTCAGATATTGTTTGCTACGAGCGTTAGGACACTGCAGTAAAGCACTAACTGCCAACCTTTGTGCACCGGCTGCACGCGCGTCGGGACGGCGTCGTGCTCTTTGCTCCGTGTCGGTGCGGGGAGACGCGGGTCCGGGGGCAGCCCGGTGGATGCGGAGCCGAGCGCAGCGCTTGCCTTGCTGCTGTGGGGTGGGATGAGCTGCGGGTTTGGTCGGGGTTTTTGCGTGAAACAGCAGCTGATAATAAAGGACGGAAACACTGAGTGTTTTGGACGCGGGAGCTGCCGGATGCGGCCCCGCTTGGCGGCGCCCGTGGCTCTGCTCTTGGCCGTCTGTCGCCCTGCCAGGGCACCGCTGCTCCTCACGCCCACTCACAGCTTTTTCTGGGGTTGTTTTGCTGCGTGCAACTTAAGAACTTGTTTTGAACCTTTTCCTGGGGGCGGGGAGAGGCGACGGCGGAGAAGCGTTTTCTGATCTCGGCTGGTCCTGGCCCCTCTGCTGCCAGACCCTCGTGCCTTGGCAGAGGGGAGCCCGGTGCTGTGCCCGGCCATGGCCGCTCAGAGGGAACCCGGGGGCGAGGGGGAGCAGCCTGTTGCTTCCGAAATGGCTTCACCCGAGTTTTCCTGGATTCATCCCCCACTGTGCATTGCTTCTGCGTCACCCGTCTGCTTGAAGCCGGGGTTTTCAAGGGGTGATGCTCGGCGTCGTGCTAACCGCTCTGCGCAGGGGAGGTTCTGCATTCAGTGCAGCCTGGAGCTCGCCTCGAGGAGAGGAAGACGCGAAGGAAGCTTTTCGGACAGCCGAGCGGCAGAGCAGCGGCCGGGAGCTGCTGGGAGCCCTGGCCGTGCTGCAGCCCGGTGCTGCCCGGAGGCAACGCGTTCCAGGGCAGGGGCACGGGCAGGCTCCTGCATGCAGCTCAGGGGCTCAAAAGCACTTGGCAGGGATTGGAATGCCACTTTTCTTCTCTTTCGAGTGATATTTGGCTTTTTTTAACCCGCCATCAAATCTCTGTTAAATGTAGAGGACTTCCCCCCGCCCCTTTCCTTTATCACATAGACATTAAAGCGTTATTTCTCATAGCCAGCTCTCCCAGAATACTTCACCATGAACACTGATCTAATTCCTTTCCTTACAGATAGGGCCGTTGCCATTATAAAGGGCTGCCCCCAGTTATGCTCGCGTTAGGCTGATGCGCGTGTCGCTGGGATGCTTTTGGGCCGTGACAGATGTATGTGTGTGTTTCGGCAGGGCTGCGTGCCGCCTCGCCGGGGCTCCTGGCCACGGCCCGTGGGCAGAGCCGCTGTCCTGCAAACGCCATCGCCGTCACGGCTGCACTGCTCCCGAAAAACGCGCTCTCGGGTCCCGGGGGAGACCTGAGCTGACTGACGGGCTGGGTTTGGTTTGACGTGATGTTTAGAGAAAAACTCTAGACGCTGCTGGTTTAGAGAAAACCCTGTGATGTTTAAGCCATGTCTAAGCACTAAATTTATTTTTTCCCTGCGTGATTAAATGAGGAATTGCTGCCTTGATATTTGGTTGTTGGTTCTGTGGCTGCGTTAAGTCTTGGCCCCTGTCCATGTTCCCAGTGCCCTTGGTGTTGGGTGGCAGAGGACGATGTGTTTATCCGGGCCCCTACTTTTAGCTTGGCACCTCTTGAAACATCCCGAGCCCAAACTGCAAATAGCGAGGGAGGACTTGCTAAAGGCGTTCGGCTCATGGCCTGTGAGGGAGGGCTGCCAGGTGGCCTTCGACTCCCTCTGATGAAAGCCTGGCCAGCGGCTTCAGGCTGAAATATGATCTTTGAAGAGGTGTTGCAGGATGGGTACAAACAAATTCTCACCAGATCCCACGCCAGCTGCAGTTTTCCTGAGGATCTAATGCACCAGGGAAATGTCACATTTGCAGGTTAAAGTAAGCTGGGTTCAGACAAGTGTTAAAAAAAAAAAGAGTAATAGAGATCAGCCTCATGTGGCGCTGGGCAATCTGACTCGCACCCGGGGCAGCGTGTGGCTCTGCTCCAGAGCTGCTCCCTCAGGGCTCTGGTTTAACTCCGTCCCAAGTGCTCCGTATGCTTCGACACCGCAGCTTGCCTGAGGTGTCTTTACTTTGCTGTACGATGGATCTTACTCCATCTGGTTGCTCGCTGGTGTGTCCTGTACCTATAATTAAAATTTCTCTTTGCAGTTCACACTCAGGCCTCCGGACTGACTCTGCCGTGCGCCGTTGCCGGGCTGTGTCGATGCCTTTTGCTGGTTGCTCGGGGTCACGTTTGTGGCAGTTGTGCTGGCCAGGGCTGTCTGCAGTTCGTCTGGTGTCGAGATACAGATGTGATGGGGGATGTTTGCAGAAACCTTTCAATTTACTGCATCTCCTAAGTCTGTCATTCATCATAGTTAAAGTGATGTTAAATGGATTACTAAGCCTCCACGCACACTGAATTTATCATTGTATGGTTCAAAGAAGACTTTATATAGTCATTGTGGTGAAACCAGCCATTAATATGTGTCGAATTCACTGCTCTGCAGAGAGCTGGTCCTGTCTAGTCTCAGTGCAATCCGCTGTGGAAATGGTGTAACGGCAGGCTTGACCTCTCAGGCTGGCCTTTTGGGGTAAGATGTGGGCGGTAACGACCTCTGAGCTTGCAGCGGGTCAGGAGGCAGGAGATTGTCATCTGCAGAACCTGATTTTACCGCGTTGGCTCCAGGACTGCCGGCGCAGTGCGTGGTTTAGCTGTCTAATCTCGTTAGCTGTCTTAGGAGGAACTATTTTGATTGTTCCACAAACCTCTTTGCTTTAAGCTCATAAACCCTGCGGCTGGATGACCTGCTGTGGAGAGGAGGTGTGGGCAGCAGGGTGCTGGCACGGTGCGAGGAGGCCACGCACGTGGTGTGCAGACAGCCTGAGGTCCAAACCCAGCAGCGGTGGAGGCCGCCCTGCATGGGCTCACCTGGAGCTCCCTGGTCATCCATGGACTTGCAAGCTGGTCAGCTTGAGGCCAGCTCTGTCTCCTCACTTTTAAAATTTTCCTTTTCTGATAGGGCAGGGTGAGACACCTACAACTTGTAGAGAAGGGCGAATGTTGGGAACCGATGTGTGACTGACAGAGTGTGCAGCTGCCTTGGACAAAGATGTGATTCTCACCTCAGTTTAATCCATGTATCGACCGTTCAGCTCCGCCGCCGCAGCGATGCTGCTCAGCGACAGTCGTGTGCGAGAGCTCAGCCCTGGCGATGTTTTCATGCCTGACACAGCCACGGAGGCTCAGGTCCCTGGTTTATCCGTGTACAAGCATGCCACGGGGCGTTCCAGGTCAGCCTGCCCATCCCTGGGGCCGTGCTGGTAGAACCTGGAACGTTCTGCGTTCCTTAAAGCAAGCTGAAGCTGCGACAGACACGCGTCGGCTGATGGCTTCCTTCAGGCCTGAATTCTCCCTTTGTGTTTGCCCATGAAATTTCCATTGGTACCAATGAGGTGTTGGATTGTTCAGCCTTGCTGGAGACTGACAGGCTTGCTTATGGACTAAATGAAGTATTCCTCAAAGACTGCTTTTAATTTAATTGGACTCTGCTCTTTTCCCCGTGAGGAAAAGGTGCTTCATACTTGATTCAAGGCTTGAGCAGAGTTTTTGTGCAGACTCGGTAGAATTCCTCCTCCACAATGTGCTGCTGGTTTTTTTTGACAGAAATAATTGTCAGTAAAATGAACTGCGTGGTTATGTATTATAAGAATGCAAGGGTGAACTTCAGCTGTTTTCTTATATTTTCAGATTCTGATCTTGTCTTGTGCAGCTCTGGGAGCCGCTAGACATTTGGCAGTGGTGTCAGGCAGCGCTTTTTCATTGTCTGTAATCTCCTGCTCTTTGTATCAGTTGTTTTGCTTTCAGCTAGATAGCGGCGTATCGCTGGTACATCTCCTGGTTTCTGTGCGAGCTGTGTAGCCGGCTCCTACCCCTGCCCCGCTGGCCTCTGCCACTGAGCGGATAAAGAGGGATTTTCTGCCCCCGTCGTGACTGGCAGGGGCTGTTTCCCTCCTCTCCCTTCTGTAGCGTGGTCAGGATCTTTCAGCTGTGGCTGTCTGGAGGGTTTATTTGACTAACGTGACAGAGTCCTGAATGCAACAGATTCTTATTAAGCCCAGGAATGGTTTTTAAATAGGTGGAAGTCCTCTAACGAGCCTGGCAGTGCCCTGGGTTCAGCCCTGAAGCTTGGATTCCCATTTCCAACACCCTCAAAGCTGACCGTGCCGTCGTGTCTCTCGTGCTTCAGTTTTTCCATCTGTGACACCCCTGTAATACTGGAAGCTGATGATATTCTGCACGATTAGGTGTCGGTGGTGGGTTTGTGAAGTATCCCAGGAAAGGCAGAAGATTTTCATAAAGTTTTTTAGCTGTGCAGCAGCAGTAGCCTGCTAGAGGAGTGCTGGGGGATGGATGGGTTTTTTGGAACAGTTCTGGGCACGCGTGGCCGTGGCAGAGACACGAATCTGTGCCATTAAACGCAGATAACCCCCTGAAGTACAACCCCACCTCCATCTCCGGGCAGGAGAGGGAAATGCTGTCTCCTTCGCTGACCCCAGTGGGCCCAGTTTGGCAGGGAGCAGCTGCTGGAGGTACGGAACGGCTGAGCCCTCGGTCCCAGAGCAGCCCCACCGAAGGGGGCTTTATTGGGGGGGTGCATCTACCACCCTCGGCTGCTCCCTGGGGCCCCCCCGCCCCCCCCCGCGGGGAGCCGGAGGCAT